CTTACTATGGCGTTCTTCCAGTCTTTTGGTAGACGACCCTGGGTTACGGATAGACTAAAACATACACTTAAAGGGTTCGCAACAAAGTTAGCTAATTCGTTTAGTAACCTAGGATGCAGTTCATTGGGTCCAGTAGATTTGCCTATGTCAAGCTTAACTAGCAGACCAAAGACGTCGAGTTCTTTAATGGTCTCGCTGTCCAGTGCTTGTGTGGGGGATTTTCATGGACTGGTGAGAAGGGTGTTTCTATGGTGTATACATCGCTAAAGTATTTAGAGAATACTTGAGCTTTGCCAAAGTCGTCCTCCACTAATGATGTGGCAGTACTGTCTCCCCATAGTGAAGGAACATTTCTTCTTCTTTTTGTCCTTTGGTTTATATACGAATACAAGCGTTTAGGGCATTCTATGGATTCCCTAACGATTTTCTCTTCGTACAGCTTTCTGGACTTACGGAGAGGTCGAGGCACAGGTATTTCGAGCCTTTTGATACTGAGATTTTGCCTCATCAGTCCCCAGTAACCTAAATCTATCCCACATTTTCCTTCTTTTACGGAGAAGGATGCGAACCTCCCAACTGAACCATGGTGGGGAGTTTCTCGGCCCCCTTGGTGTAGTCCAAGGGATGTGGGGGCGGTAACTCTTAAGCATAAATTTCGAAATTCGTCCCAAGCCGTTTCGATTGATGACTCTGGGTCTATTTTCCAATCTACTGATGATGCTGATTTCATGATGTCTGGTATGTTTGCTCTCCAGACGTTAGGTCTGGATTGAGCTGAAGCGTACTCGTGATCGACAGTTATATGGAAGTCAAAGCTTAAAACTGCATGATCACTTTTGCCTAGGGGTGGCATGTAATCCAGGTTTTCAACATCATCCTCATAATGAGTCAATATAAGATCTAGTAAGGATGATGCAGAACCCGGGTCGTACCTAGTTGCTTCCTTCACGTGTTGCACTAGGGCACATGTGATTGCCGCATCAACTAGTTCCTGTTCGAAGAAATTTGCTGACGATTCAGTCCGCAGATTTCCCCAGTCCACCATGGGTGCATTAAAGTCCCCTAGGATTAGACATCGACCACTTTGTGACCAAGAGTCGAAACTGTTAAGCAGGACATCGTTTACCTCACAGCTTGGACTGCAATAGAATAAATCAATCGGCAGCTATTGTTCCTTACATTTCAAGTGGCAACTAACTAATTCACACGTCTCACTGTCATGGGATACACTGTCAATAATGGTGAGTGGGAACTCAATGTGTCGACACGCAGATTGACACAAGGCAGGCCCAAGTGAGTCCAAAAAATACCTACCCACATTCTACTAAGGAGGAAGAACATCCTCCAAAGAGGTCTGTTACAACCAGAAACTCGCGCAAAAAAAGTCTATTCTGTCCCTCGTATCAAAAATGGTATCCAGAAGGGAACTTCAGGAAGCCGAAACCGCAAGGCTCGATCGGTTTCCAGCGCGAAAGATGACCCAATCTCCCAAGTCGTACTGAATCTTCCGGAATCCCACAGTACGCCTGAAGCGACTGTGGTCACCACTCCAAAGAACGTTGGCGATTGGGTACGGGTCGTAAGAAAAAAACGCCAAAATGACGTAAAAGGAAATCATACCCCCACCAAAAGTGTCGACAAGCCGAGGTCTGATCACAGCGACAGATCAGTCATTCTCCATAGAGTCAAGGAGAGTGACAGCTCAGAACCGAAAGCTCGTTTTGAGCATGACATTGTGGTGATAAAACAACTACTCAACCAAGTTATGCCTAAAAACATCCCCGGAGTCACCTTTCTAAATGTGTATAGTCTAGGAAATCTAGCGCATCTGAAACCAAATCAGTCTAGACTACTCAAAGTCGTTTTCAAATCCTCAAACGAACGCGAATTAATCTTAGAAAATGGACACAAATTAAAGGGTTCAGGAGTTTTTCTCCGTAAGGACTTACCGTTGGCGGACCGTGTTAAAAGACGGGAAGCCGAAAAAGAACTACAGCTCAGATTAGATGCTGGCGAAAAAAACCTGAAAATTGTAAATTTTCGGGTTGTGAGGCTTCGACAGAGGATGATGCCGAAGCCACTCTGAGTGAAGCACGAGGCCACCGAAATAGGCTTCGGATCTGTTATACCAATACCCGGAGCTTACTCAATAAGCTACCGGAACTAGGTGTACAGAATAACTCAACTAGGCCAGATATAATCGCAGTCACAGAAACATGGCTGATGCCGTCTATAGATAGTAGGGAACTTGATTTCGAGGGTTTTACATTAGTAAGGGCCGATAGAATACAAACGCATTAAGGAGGGGGAGTAGCTCTATTCATTAAGAATGCTATTCCATTCACCATTATTGACAGTGTATCCCATGACAGTGAGACGTGTGAATTAGTTAGTTGCCACTTGAAATGTAAGGAACAATAGCTGCCGATTGATTTATTCTATTGCAGTCCAAGCTGTGAGGTAAACGATGTCCTGCTTAACAGTTTCGACTCTTGGTCACAAAGTGGTCGATGTCTAATCCTAGGGGACTTTAATGCACCCATGGTGGACTGGGGAAATCTGCGGACTGAATCGTCAGCAAATTTCTTCGAACAGGAACTAGTTGATGCGGCAATCACATGTGCCCTAGTGCAACACGTGAAGGAAGCAACTAGGTACGACCCGGGTTCTGCATCATCCTTACTAGATCTTATATTGACTCATTATGAGGATGATGTTGAAAACCTGGATTACATGCCACCCCTAGGCAAAAGTGATCATGCAGTTTTAAGCTTTGACTTCCATATAACTGTCGATCACGAGTACGCTTCAGCTCAATCCAGACCTAACGTCTGGAGAGCAAACATACCAGACATCATGAAATCAGCATCATCAGTAGATTGGAAAATAGACCCAGAGTCATCAATCGAAACGGCTTGGGACGAATTTCGAAATTTATGCTTAAGAGTTACCGCCCCCACATCCCTTGGACTACACCAAGGGGGCCGAGAAACTCCCCACCATGGTTCAGTTGGGAGGTTCGCATCCTTCTCCGTAAAAGAAGGAAAATGTGGGATAGATTTAGGTTACTGGGGACTGATGAGGCAAAATCTCAGTATCAAAAGGCTCGAAATACCTGTGCCTCGACCTCTCCGTAAGTCCAGAAAGCTGTACGAAGAGAAAATCGTTAGGGAATCCATAGAATGCCCTAAACGCTTGTATTCGTATATAAACCAAAGGACAAAAAGAAGAAGAAATGTTCCTTCACTATGGGGAGACAGTACTGCCACATCATTAGTGGAGGACGACTTTGGCAAAGCTCAAGTATTCTCTAAATACTTTAGCGATGTATACACCATAGAAACACCCTTCTCACCAGTCCATGAAAATCCCCCACACAAGCACTGGACAGCGAGACCATTAAAGAACTCGACGTCTTTGGTCTGCTAGTTAAGCTTGACATAGGCAAATCTACTGGACCCAATGAACTGCATCCTAGGTTACTAAACGAATTAGCTAACTTTGTTGCGAACCCTTTAAGTGTATGTTTTAGTCTATCCGTAACCCAGGGTCGTCTACCAAAAGACTGGAAGAACGCCATAGTAAGTCCTGTCTTCAAAACAGGTACAAAACATAAGCCTGAGAATTACCGACCAATTAGCCTAACTAGTGTGGTTGTTAAAATCCTAGAAAAGACCATTCCGACGGAGCTGTTTAAGTACCTCGATGGATACCGGATATTTCCGGAGAAGCACCATGGTTTAAGAATAGGTTATCCTTGTCTCACTAACTTATCAATCGCTCGTGAAAGCTGGTGCGCTCTTAAGGACCAAACGTTACTTGTAGATGTAGCCTACGTAGATTTCAGCAAAGCTTTCGACAAAGTTCCGCATAACCGGCTGTTATATAAGCTAAGGAATGTCGGGATTGGAGGCAATCTATTGATGTGGATAAAAGACTTCCTAGTTGGGTGTCAACAAAAAGTAAGGGTGAACTCCAAGTTGTCTAGCTGGGAAACTGTTTAGTGGAGTATCACAGGGTACACTTTTGGGGACAGTGTTATTCCTCCTGTACGTAAATGATCTCCCTCGTCTACTATCGTCATCTATCTTACTCTATGCTGATGATGTCAAAATATGGAGAGCGATACAAAGCAAGGGCGATAGCTTAGAACTTCAGAATGACCTGGAGAGATTATCTGAATGGTCCCAAACCTGTCAATTGCCGATAAACACTTCCAAGTGTATTGTGATGCATATTGGCCATCAGGGTACAGATACATTCACGATGAATAGCACTGAGTTACCTATTGTTCAGGCACACAATGACTTAGGCGTCATCGTCAGTCAAGACTTAAAGACTACTGCTCACTGCCGTGCAATAACCGCCAAAGGTTTTAGGACTTTATGGTCCATACGTAGGGCTCTTAGGCATCTCGACGCTAAATCGTTTCTGACTTTGTTTACAGTGTTCGTACGCCCTAAACTTGAGTGCTGTATACAAGCAGCTAACCCCTGCCTAAAAAAAGACAGTGAACTCTTGGAAAGGGTTCAGAGAACAGCAACTAGGCAGATTCCCGGAATAGCGAAGCTCCCGTATGGTACTAGACTGACCAAGCTAAACCTATTCCCGCTGTCATATAGAAGAATCAAAGGTGACTTGATTATAGTTTTCAAATTGCTTAATGACAAATTTGCACCTGATATGCCCTCATTTTTCTTGTCTTCCAAAACAGAAAATCTACGAGAACACTCCAAAAAAGTTTACAAGCACAGAACGAATTACTTGTCAGCTGACTACCGACTTTCCCATCGAATAAACAACGAGTGGAATTCATTACCTCAGCACGTGGTTGAGGCTCCATCCGTCGACTCCTTCAAAAGAAAGTTGGATCAGCTGAGAGACAATCATTGCGAGGACTAACACAGGCCATCAAGGCTACGGTCCTTTCCAAACTGAAACTGAAGCTGATTTATTTCTTTTTGCAGGCATCGCGCATTTTTTAATTTATATTTCTCTAGGTCAAGGTTGGGGGCTGGTATTATATTTGTTGCTGTTTGGTCCGTCCTCGTATAAAATAAAGCGTATCAAGGTTAGAGACGAGTTTAATATTTGCGTCTGCCTTCTGTTCGTAAAGTTCTTGTCACCCGTAAAAGTCTTGTTTCTGTTTGAACTGTCGTGTAAATTAAGGCGTGTACTTTAATACTAAGTTTCAACGATGATTATTTCATACCCACGTTTTTATGTTATTTCATTGGTTTTCTTAACTAATTTATCAGCCATCAAATCAGTTCTCATCATCAGTTCGTGGACGTATCGGTTTTATTTCGCCGCAAAGTTCATTTTGGGAATAAGTCTGATCTCGGTTCGTTGTGAAAACGTGATTTATACATATTTATTTATCTCAGTACGTATGATGAGATTATAGTTTCTGGACGATAACAGGCGACTAACAGTAGTTAGGTTTAAACCCGTCATACAATGGGAGGTCGTTTGACTCGTTTTAATCCGTGGAGGCTGTTCTCCTGCCCAAATCCAGCTTGTAAATGAAAGTGTTTTCTGATAGGACTGGTACCTCGTTTAAATAGGAGGTTCCTGTCATTGACCATCCAACGAAATATACGCGATCCGTTTCTGAATTTATTCGATAACGGTTTTTGAACCCTTTTTTGACGGCTTCTGAGATAATTAGCCATAGGAAAAGCAAAAAAAACACTAGGATGTTAATATAAGCTCACTTCGCGTTCTGCTGTCAGTATTGTTAGTATGTTCATGATTTCTAGTACCTTGATTATAAATATTTAGCTTCTAGCTTGTATAAGTTTGCAGAACTGAGGCACGCGCGCTATTTAAAAGGACAGTGGTATTGTTTCACGTTGAGTTTAATTCACTGTTTTGATCGTAAATTACGTATCAAAACTACCGTTTACACTTTAATTGAATTTATTTCAGTTAACGTGACATTGTGTTTGTGTGTTTTGATCCTGCTTTTGTGTATTTACTGCATCAAAGCATTCTTGGTCGACTGCGGCTTGTTTATTTGATAAGGTTGTGATTTATCTTACATATCTACCTTGTCTATCATTTTGTTTTATTCTAAGATGGTCGGCTCTGTACACAAGTGTGGACAGCCATATTGCTTATTCCCCGTGGAAGAAGGGATGCAATGTGACGATTGTAAGAAGTGGTTTCATAAAATGTGCACCCGCTTAAGCCCTGCTGCCTATAAAAGGTGCTCGAAACCAAATTCTCATTGGCTCTGTATGTTTTATTGCTCAAGTAAGACATTACTCATTCAGGAAGCCATCAGCCTTCTAGCGTTAGCTAAAAAGGTCGACGTAGGCCGTGCCGGCAACATGGATACTGATAATGAAGATTGTATCAGTGTCGTAAATGCTGCCATGGCAGGTACCAGACACCCAATTTCGCAACATGAAGCAAAAATCTGTACTCCGATACAACCAATGAAAGCCATGCCATTAAGTACTGAGGGACCAGTCGCTTTAGCAGCGACTGAGGACCCGGCTAGAACCACTATCGTCCAGAATGGTTCCAATCTGGATGCTGAGAATAGTGGCAAATGGATTACGCGGAAACGCAAAAGAGACGGAAAAATACCCATAGAAAGCGCGCGTATAGTCGATAAGTCATCGTTGGACTCACGTCCTGAGCATCAGGCAACTCCGCTCAAGTCCAAATACTGTTGTGGATGGAAATAGTCTAACTTCACCAAATGTTGTTGGGAGTAACTCGCTTGACCCACATGACACTGTCATAAAGAAAGCTAATAGCAAGAAGCCGGTAGCTAACCGGCAGGATCTGACATCACGGTCAAAGGCCGTGAACACGACGTTTAAGGCAGTTAAACAGGTGCCTAGTGTAATCATCTGGAACTTGGCAGAATCGAAAGACACTGATCCCGCTAAGAGACATGCACACGACCTGCAGTTAGTGGGATCTCTCATCAGAAATATACTGCCAGAGGAGGTCCCAGGGGTACATATCTCGAAAGTCATCAGACTTGGTAAGTATGTTGGAGGCGAAACCCAACAGAGAAGGATCCTCAAATTAGTACTCGGTAATTTTGAGGAACGGGACGTATTACTAAATAACTCACGGAAAACTCGTGACTCAAACATTCGTATTCGACCTGACTGGCCACTTGAGGATCGGATCAAGTGGAAGAATGCCCTAACAGAGTTAAAAACTCGAAGGCTAAACGGTGAAGCGAACCTTACGATTAAGGGTTTTCGGGTAGTCAGGTCTTGGAAGCCAATGCTTCCGAGACCTGTGTGGGTAGAACGCATGTCTCCAAAAACACCCTAAATGTGTGTTATACGAATGCTCGTAGTCTTCGGAATAAGATGTCTGAACTAAGTTTGATGGTAGACGACTTAAATCCGGATATAATTGTTACCACCGAAACTTGGCTCACTGTAGATATAGACTGTTCTCCAGTCATTTCAGGCTACATCTGTGTCAGAAGTGATGGAGTTAGAAGTCGCAAGGGAGGAGGCATAATATTATATATTAGGGACCACTTCCGCATTAACTCGATCGTATCGGAGGCGCATGTAAGTGGTACGTGTGAGGTAGTATGTTGTACAATTAGGTCTAGAAACGGGTTAGTGACGATAGGAGGAATATATGGTAGTCCGTGTTGTCTCGCTGACGACCTTATCCTAAGACACGTCTGTTCTTGGAGTAAAGCAGAATGTTGTCTCATCGTTGGAGATTTCAATGCACCCCATATAAACTGGATAGAGCTCAGAGCACCATGTGGGGGTTTCGATAGCGTCCTTCTGTCATCAATTATTCAATGTGCACTTGTACAATGTATCGTTAAGCCGACGCATATAGACTTGGAACATAATCCGTCATTGATAGACCTTGTCCTCACACACCACTGTGAAGATATCGTTGACATTCAACATCTTCCCCCACTGGTGAATAGTGACCATGTCGTACTTTCCTTTAAGTTCCGGATACATGGTATAGAATTTGCATCAGCTCCACCCCGTCCTAATATCTGGAGAGCTAATATTCCGGCAATCAGGGACTATGCTATCTCAATTGACTGGTCGGTCGATGCTGATGGATCGATTGATGATGCATGGAATAGGTTCAAGTCTACATTCGAATCCGTAACTCAACCGTTTATCCCATGGTCAGCACGTAAGTTATCATATTGCCCTCCATGGATTAATAAGGAAACCCGGAAGCTGTTGAAGCGTAGGAAACACTTCTGGGACTTATTCTTGTCAACAGGTCAGGCATCATTTAAGTGCGAATATAAAAAAATCCGGAATATATGTAAAAAGACCATAGCTAAATCCCGCACGGCTTACGAACGACAGTTGGCATACGATAGCCGTAGCTGTCCGAAGCGACTGTTTTCGTACGTTAAAAGGCGGACGAAACGTAGTGATGGTATCCCCTCATTACTGTTAAGCGAAAATTCAGCTTTATTGGCTGAATCTGATCTGGCGAAAGCGGAGTTATTTGCTAACTATTTCAGTGAAGTCTACTCTACGTGTAGTGTTACAACTACTTGTCCCGTTGACAATGAGATACCAGCCATAGGACCTTTACACGTGACAGAGGATATAGTTCTTCCTTTGATAACTAACCTAAAACCTTGTAAGATACCGGGCCCCGATGGGTTACACCCACGTTTACTGTCGTCGCTTGCGGACATTATCTCAAGACCGCTCACGATGCTCTTCAACATGTCCCTTTCACAGGCTCAACTACCTAGAGACTGGAAAGACGCCATAGTTAGTCCTATATTTAAGGATGGTCAGAGACGGATAGTATCTAACTACCGGCCTGTTAAAATCTGGAGAACAATAAAAAAATGAGACTGATCGTTGTTATCTGCAAGCAGATTTAGACGAATTAGTTAGGTGGGCTCATGATTGGGGCCTGGAAGTTAATTCTAGGAAGAGCGTGTTCATGCACATCGGGCACGATATTAGTTACCACTATACCATTAATGGTACATCTCTGCCACGCGTTCATGCGCATAAAGACTTAGGAGTAATTATAAGTCACGACTTGAAAACTACAACGCACTGCAGTGCGGTTGCTTCCAAAGGCTATCGCGCGCTATGGTCGCTTCGCAGAGCATTTAAATGCTTTGACGAGGATATTTTTCGAATTTTATATCCCACCTATGTAAGGCCACACTTAGAATACTGTATCCAAGCAGCTAGCCCTTGTCTGATAAAGGATACTAAATCGCTTGAGCGTGTCCAGCGTGTAGGGACAAAATTAGTAAAGGGTCTTTCCAAACTCCCTTACGATGAGCGTTTAAAACGTCTAAATCTTTTCCCCTTATCTTATCGTAGGACGCGAGGTGACCTTATACTGGCATTTCGTATCTTTAATTATGATCTGGGTGTTAATATGTCTTACCTTTTTGCTCCCTCCAGCACTAATAATCTCCGGGGTCATAGCAAGAAGGTTCTGAAACCGCGATCTAATAAATTAAAGGTGGGGTCCCGTTTTTCTCATCGAGTGGTCAATGACTGGAACGCTTTACCAGAACAAGTGGTATCAGCACCATCAGTGAACATTTTCGAAAAGAAGCTGGACCTTCACTGGAAGGAAATCTGTCAGGATTATCGAAGGTTCATCAACCTACTATCCTTATTACTGAAGACTGAAGAAACCAATTCATAATGTGACATCAGTCTATGTTGTCAGTGACTTGGTTGAACTGTGTGGTTAGGTGCAAAGTATTTGTTTGGGGTCCGTGTGATCGTGATCATTCACTTATAAGTACCTTTTCATCCCTTCCGGAACGATATTCTCAGTATTCAGTCATCCTCATAACTACTAAGTCATTTCAGTTATCTTGTTTTCTATTATATGAATTTCATCTCGCTGTACTGATGTGTAATGGACACTTAAACTAACACATTTGTACCAGTCTCTCTATGGCACTTAACCTTTTTTCACATGTTTATTGTTTTTAGAAAGATTTGAAATTCGAAAACTCAAGGAAATGTTCATTAAAATCGCTATTAAGTGATTTTACTAGAACACTTCTCTGTAATGAATTCAAAATGCTCTAGGTAGCACGCTTGATGCTGATTTATTGTTCCATAGACATGAACAAATGCTAAATATTATAAATGGAGAGAACGTAAATATTGAAGAACTTAAAAGATTGTCCATTGATGGTTGTCCAGATTCTAATGGGATCCGTTCAAAAGTTTGGAAGGTAAGGTACTCCTTTACATTTTTCAGTTTCTTTTAAATTATCTTCCCTATAATGTTGACAAACGACAAGAACGGATTACTTTTAACAGAAGGCAATATGAAGGTTATATAAAAGAATTCGTATTTGAGTCTTGTATGGCAGATGCGATGCCTGCTGATCATGTAAGTGTATTCATTTAGTATTATTGTTACTTCTCTAGCCATTAAATTTGGAACCAGATGGAAATTGGATCGCGTTTTTTCGCGATAATGAAATTTTACTTCAGATTAATAAAGACTGTCAGAGACTATGTCCAGATTTCGATTTTTTTCGTCGTCCCACAGAGTATTCTAGTCTGTCATTATTTGGAAAGGAAGTACCTGTTGGGGTATTACGGAGAAGAGGGGAAACCTCTGCACTTCAGGTAAATGGTCCTAAAAAGTTTCCTTAGTATTTTCTAAGCAGATGTTATACTTACAAACTACATGCTCTGTGTTACCAACTTTGCATTGTACTTCATTGATACTTGTTGGAAACCTCCAACTGAGTAATACTTCGTGTAGTAATGCTAAGACATGATTTATTTCAAGGGTTTCCCTGGAATCGATTCATTATAAGACAATGTATAATTGTGACAATGCACATTTTAAGCACCAGCAATTTACTCAACGGCATATATCGTAAAAGAAGTTTTGTAGTGGTTATAATATATATTAGAAATAGATACCATGTTTTGCGAATATTTGGTCAATTTAGCTTTTGAATGTCGGAAAGTGAAATTGTCTTCGTAAGATGTAGTTACACAGACTAATTGTTGAACAGTTAAACGGGGTCTATTGAAGTGAAACTAACATTGAGAAGATTTATTGGCAAGTATATATAGCATTATCAGTATAGGGTTGTGGAGATTGTTAACTTTCGTTGAGATCATGAACCGATCAATGTTAGACTCTCGTGTCAGGAAGCAAATTGTTTTTGTTAGCTTGGTTGATTGAAAATTTTCTATATGTTACTAAACATCATTTTTTGTTGTGTTTAATTCAAAGATACTACATATTACAGTTAACATCATCTGAACAACCGTTATCAGAAGCCATTGAGTAACTATCATTGTCACATTCTACTCCAATACAGAGTCATGATTATTAAAACTACTAAAGTCGGGCTGTCTACAGTTTTTAGTAGATGTACGTTCGTACGTTGAAACCCGACTTCAGTAATCGATGTATTAAAAGTCAACTAGCTAGTAATCTAACTCGACTTCCTAGCCGCTGTGAATTTATTAAACATATGAAAGAAGGTCTTATACCCCTCAATTTTTAATAGTTGAATAATGTAGACTTTTAGTGAAAGATGTATTTTATAATTGTTTCTTTGGATTGCTTTTGATTGAAAAATGTTATTGTTACCATTATATGTTTTAAGCGTTCAATTCTACCTGTTTTCTTTTCAGTCCCGTTCATTGAATAAAAATCTTGCTGGTGTTACAAATATGATTCATCTGTCTACTTACTCTCCTTTCCAACCAAACCATCGGTTATCTTCTGGTTTAGTAACACAATCACAAATAAGTAAGATGAACCGTAATAGCGATTGGAATTCGACCTCACCGCATGAGGAACCTCATTGGGAAGTGATTGAAAGAATTCTATATGTATATTACAAAACTCATGTGTCTCAGGGTTATGTTCAAGGAATGAATGAAATTATTGCACCGATATACTATGTTTTCGCCACTGACCCCGATGAATCCTGGAGAAGCAAGTTCAATCTGTGTATTTATATATTTGCTGAAGATTGTTGTTAGAAGTTAGGGGTAGGTTGCGTGGTAGCGATGGCGAATCGGCTGAGGTAGTGAATCTCCATCAACTAAGGTAGTCGAGGCGTCTGGTACTAATTACTAACCACTGTCTACTTTGACGCATGATGCTGACTGGTATAGAATTAGGCTGTGAGAAAGTTAAGGTTAGTCAGTTCAAAACTTGGTATCAATCATTAAATCATCGGCAGTGAGATGGAATCATGTTTCTGGGTGCAAAATACCTGATCGATATCGACTAGATTATCGTATCCAATGATTACAGACGTAGTATTACATGGCTCAGGATCACTGTCATTTGCACAGATGCATCCATTCTTTATCTTCTCTCAGATTCTGAGTCTCTCAATTAACTACAGCTTTTATTTCAGTAACCCATATTTTCCCCTCAAATCATATATTGTATGCCTAATATTTTTTACTACTGACAATGTTAGTATTTGTACTACTGTGGTGTTTGTCATAACAATTTCATCTCTCTATACGGAACTCCTATGATGGACTAAACTGCCAAATCGTCCACGGAGGACAACTCACCGACTCGTTTGAAGTAAAGACTGGTGTAAGGCAAGGTTGCTTACTCTCACCGTTTCTCTTTCTCCTGGTAATCGACTGGATCATGAAGACGTCAACGACTGGAGGAAAGCACGGGATACAGTGGACAGGCAGGATGCAACTTGACGATCTAGACTTCGCGGATGATCTGGCTCTTCTATCACAAACGCAACAACAAATGCAAGAGAAAACGACCAGTGTAGCAGCAGCCTCAGCAGCAGTAGGTCTCAATATAAACAAAGGGAAAAGCAAGACTCTCCGATACAACACAATATGCACCAATCAAATTACACTTGACGGAGAAGCTTTGGAGGATGTGGAAACCTTTACATATCTGGGAAGCATCATTGATGAACACGGTGGATCAGATGCAGATGTGAGGGCGAGGATCGGCAAAGCAAGAGCAGCATACTTACGACTGAAAAACATCTGGAGCTCAAAACAATTGTCAACCAACACCAAGGTTAGAATTTTCAATACAAATGTCAAGACAGTTCTATTGTATGGGGCGGAGACGTGGAGAACTACGAAAGCCATTATCCAGAAGATACAAGTGTTTATCAACAGCTGTCTACGCAAGATACTTCGGATCCGATGGCCAGACACTATCAGCAACAAGTTACTGTGGGAGACAGCAAATCAGATTCCAGCGGAGGAAGAAATCAGGAGGAAGCGCTGGAAGTGGATTGGGCACACTTTGAGGAAATCACCCGATTGCGTCACAAGACAAGCCCTCACATGGAATCGTGAAGGCCAATGGAGAAGAGGAAGACCAAAGAACACATTACGCCGAGAAGTAGAGACAGACATGAGAATAATGAACAAGAACTGGATAGAACTAGAAAAGAAGGCCCAGGACAGAGTGGGTTGGAGAATGCTGGTCGGCGGCCTATGCTCCATTGGGAGTAACAGGCGAAAGTAAGTAAGTAATTATTGTGATGTGGTGCGTCAACTTGAGTCGACGTACATCTTGTCAACCTGTAAAGTCATTCAGATAACTTTTTTGTACTTATTTATGGCAGTGAGTTTAGTAATTATTTCGAGAGGAATCTTCATCAGAATCTTTAAAGAATATCTTAGTGCATCTGGTCATTTTGCTTGTATTTTGATTATCAGTCTTATGAACAGTCGGAATATAGTTGGTCTTAAGTCGTTAACACACTAGTTATTTTAGAAAGATTTAGATAACAAAGATTTCTAAATTTATTTAGGACCCAAATTTTTTTGATCTTTCAATTTATCTTGTAACAAAGCAACGAATATTTAATTATCTAAATCACACTTTAAGCTTAGATCTAATTTATCCATTAGTAAGCTTTAGGGGATAATACTTTCTGCTCGTGATTAGTTTGTATTAATCTGAGGAGTAGAGGTACGTCTCTACTGACATTTCTTGTAAATTATAGACTAATCTATCGAAAAATACATTGATAATTTATACTCCTGATTTTTAGAATTTCTATTCTTGATATTGCGAAATTCTATTTAATTCTATTACCTTAACTCTTTTCACACAGAATATGCAGAAATGGACACATTTTATTGCTTCAATAACCTTATGACTGAAATTCATCCTAATTTTTTACGAAAGTTAGATGGTAGTCATGAAGCTGGTCTGGGTGAGCATTTACGGTTTTCGATTCATTTCTCCTTCATAAAAGCACCCGACTTAATGTGCTGTTTATTTAAAAAGAATAATTAGTGTTTTGGCCAATATTTTCTTTCATCATACATGATTATTATAATCTTGTGGGTCAGTCACATATTTGGACTGACTAAATAAGTACTGTATGAAATTACCTTGGATTTAGTCATTGTAGATCACAATAATTAGTTACGTAGTATACCTCAAAGGGGTAGGTCAGGTGAAATAGCTAACCATTAGGCGAATTTTACATATCTATATCATTTTATATACCCTTTAGTTGAGTTACGCATTTATCATACAGGTAGTGAACTTACTTACTTACTTACTTACGCCTGTTACCCCTCGTCGAGGAGCATAGGCCGCTCACCAGCATTCTCCATCCAACTCTGTCCTGAGCCTTCCTTTCCAGTTCTTTCCAGTTGCTATTCATCCTTTTCATATCGGCTTCTATTTCCCGGCGTAGTGTGTTCTTTGGCCTTCCTCTTTTCCGCTTCCCTTCCGGATTCCAAGTTAGGGACTGAGTCGTGATGCACATTGGTGATTTCCTTAATGTATGTCCGATCCACTTCCAACGTCTTTTCCTTATTTCCTCTTCAGCTGGAAGCTGGTTTGTCCTCTCCCATAAAACGCTGTTGCTGATAGTATCCGGCCAATGGATGTTGAGTATTTTGCGTAGACAACTGTTTATAAATACTTGTACCTTCCTGATGATGGCCGTAGTAGTTCTCCACGTTTCAGCTCCATACAGTAGGACTGTCTTGACGTTCGTATTAAAGATTCTGACCTTGAAATTGGTTGAGAGTTGTTTTGAGTTCCATATGTTCTGCAATTGTAGAAATGCTGCCCTTGCTTTGCCAATCCTTGCCTTTACATCTGCATCCGATCCTCCTTGTTTATCAACGATGCTCCCCAGGTACTTGAATGTTTCCACCTCTTCCAGAGTTTCGCCATCAAGTGTGATTGGGTCGGTGTTCTCCGTGTTGCATTTGAGAATCTTGCTTTTTCCTTTGTGAATGTGGAGGCCTATCGATGCGGAGGCTGCTGCTACATTTGCTGTCTTCATCTGCATTTGGTCGTGTGTATGAGAGAGGAGGGCTAGGTCATCTGCGAAGTCCAAATCATCTAATTGATTCTGAGAAGTCCATTGTATTCCGTATTTCCCTTCAGATGTCGAATTCGTCATAATCCAGTCAATCACTAGAAGGAAGAGAAATGGGGAGAGTAGACAGCCTCGTCTGACTCCGGTCCTTACTGGAAATGCATCTGTCAGCTGTCCTCCATGCACCACTTTGCACTGTAATCCATCGTATGAGTTTTGGATAATGTTGACGATCTTCTGAGGAACTCCATAGTGTCGAAGAAGTTTCCATAATGTTCTCCTGTCCACGCTGTCAAACGCCTTCTCATAGTCGATGAAGTTGACGTATAGTGATGAGTTCCACTCAACTGATTGTTCAACGATGATCCGTAGTGTCGCAATCTGGTCTGTGCACGACCGATCCTTACGGAATCCAGCCTGATGATCCCTAAGTTCGGCGTCTACTGCGTCTTTCATCCGATTCAGCAGCACTCTGTTGAAAACTTTTCCTGGTACTGATAACAAACTGATGCCTCTGTAGTTCTCACATTGGCTCAGATCTCCTTTCTTTGGTATCTTGATGAGATATCCTTCTTTCCAGTCCGTTGGCACTTGTTCCTCTTCCCAAATCTTTTTGAATAGAAGGTGAAGCATGTTTGCAGTTATTTCAATGTCTGACTTCAGTGCTTCTGCTGGTATATTGTCAGGTCCTGCCGCCTTCCCACTTTTGATTTGTCTGATGGCCATCTTGACTTCTTCGATCGTTGGTGGAGTGACATCTATTGGAAGGTCAGTGTGGGCTGCTTCGATGTTCGGTGGATTCGATGGGGCTGGTCTATTCAGCAGTTCCTCAAAGTATTCTGCCCATCTTTTCCTCTGTTCCTGAATCTCAGTGATTGTCTTTCCTTCTTTGTCTTTGACTGGTCTCTCTGGTTTGCTATATCTCCCTGCCAATTTCTTCGTTGTATCATATTCCCTTCTCTTGCAGCTTTTTCCGCCGCCGTTGCTAGTTCTCCCATGTATTTCTGCTTGTCGGCTTTAATGCTTTTCTTCACTTCTCTGTTTGCTTCTGCGTAATCTGCTTGTGCTTTGACTTTCTCTGCTCGTGTTCGGCTGTTGTTAATTGCTAGTCTCTTGTTCTTCCTTTCTCGAATTTTGTCCAGGGTTCCCATAGAGATCCATTCCTTATGATGATGCTTCTTAGGACCAAGAACCTCCTGACACGTTGAAGTTAGTGCTTCTTTTATCCCTTTCCAGTTGTCCTCCAAAGTAGTTTCTTGTTCTTTCAGTAGATCCTGTAGAGCTTGGAACCTGTTGTTGAGAGTTATCTTGAATTCATGGAGTTTGTCAGTATCTCGAAGGAAGGCTGTATTAAACCTTTGTAGTGCTGTTTGTCCAGTTGTCCAGTCTTTCTTTAGCTTCAGTCTCATCTTGGCCACAACCAGGTGGTGATCTGAAGCTATGTCAGCTCCTCTCCGGGTTCTCACATCTTCCATTGATCTTCGGAATTTTTTGTTGATACAGATGTGATCAATCTGGTTCTCTGTGGTGTGGTCCGGTGAGATCCATGTAGCTGTGTGTATGCGTTTGTGTGGGAATATTGTGCCGCCTATAACCAATTTGTTGAATGCACATAGGTTTGCAAGTCTCTCCCCATTTTCATTTCTCTCTCCTAGTCCATGTCGTCCAATTACATCTTCATATCCTGTGTTGTCCACTCCAACTTTAGCATTTAGATCTCCCATAAGGATGGTGAGGTCCTTTCGTGAGCACTTTGCTATAATTGATTGCAGCCTTTCATAGAACTGATCTTTATCATCGTCGTTGCTATCATTGGTGGGTGCATAACATTGGATAACATTCATTGTGATCCCTTGCTTCTTTGTTCTGAATGATGCTTTGATTATCCTGGGTCCATGAGATTAACTCCGCCTGTAGCTCTTCTAGAGTTACTGCCGGTCCCAAGCCCGGGTAAAGGAGGAGGGTTGGGCATGGGGTTAGCGACCCCATCCCGTAGAAAAGCTAACTCGCTAAAAAAACGCTAACCAGAAAAAATAATCCAAACCATTTAAACTCTGCCCTGGGAGTTGAAGGAATAATGACGTCTCATGATGAAAGCCGAAATTCTTCGGAAGTCACGAGACCGATGCTCCTTCTAACAACCAGAGCAACACTCTTTATAGGTACATGGAACGTCCGCACAATGTGGGAAACAGGAAAGACCAGCCAAATAGCAATGGAAATGAGGAGATACAACTTGGCAGTACTCGGAATCAGCGAAACCCATTGGACACAAACTGGACAACAAAGGCTAGGTACAGGAGAGATGCTGCTGTACTCCGGTCACGAAGGGGAAAATGCGCCACACACTCAGGGAGTTGCTCTAATGCTGTCCAGAGAAGCACGAAATGCACTTGTGGGATGGGAATCTCATGGACCCAGGATAATCAAAGCATCATTCAGAACAAAGAAGGAGGGGATCACAATGAACGTTATCCAATGTTATGCACCCACCAATGATAGCAACGACGATGATAAAGATCAGTCCTATGAAAGGCTGCAATCAATTATAGCAAAGTGCTCACGAAAGGACCTCACCATCCTTATGGGAGATCTAAATGCTAAAGTTGGAGTGGACAACACAGGATATGAAGATGTAATTGGACGACATGGACTAGGAGAGAGAAATGAAAATGGGGAGAGACTTGCAAACCTATGTGCATTCAACAAATTGGTTATAGGCGGCACAATATTCCCACACAAACGCATACACACAGCTACATGGATCTCACCGGACCACACCACAGAGAACCAGATTGATCACATCTGTATCAACAAAAAATTCCGAAGATCAATGGAAGATGTGAGAACCCGGAGAGGAGCTGACATAGCTTCAGATCACCACCTGGTTGTGGCCAAGATGAGACTGAAGCTAAAGAAAGACTGGACAACTGGACAAACAGCACTACAAAGGTTTAATACAGCCTTCCTTCGAGATACTGACAAACTCCATGAATTCAAGATAACTCTCAACAACAGGTTCCAAGCTCTACAGGATCTACTGAAAGAACAAGAAACTACTTTGGAGGACAACTGGAAAGGGATAAAAGAAGCACTAACTTCAACGTGTCAGGAGGTTCTTGGTCCTAAGAAGCATCATCATAAGGAATGGATCTCTATGGGAACCCTGGACAAAATTCGAGAAAGGAAGAACAAGAGACTAGCAATTAACAACAGCCGAACACGAGCAGAGAAAGTCAAAGCACAAGCAGATTACGCAGAAGCAAACAGAGAAGTGAAGAAAAGCATTAAAGCCGACAAGCAGAAATACATGGGAGAACTAGCAACGGCGGCGGAAAAAGCTGCAAGAGAAGGGAATATGATACAACGAAGAAATTGGCAGGGAGATATAGCAAACCAGAGAGACCAGTCAAAGACAAAGAAGGAAAGACAATCACTGAGATTCAGGAACAGAGGAAAAGATGGGCAGAATACTTTGAGGAACTGCTGAATAGACCAGCCCCATCGAATCCACCGAACATCGAAGCAGCCCACACTGACCTTCCAATAGATGTCACTCCACCAACGATCGAAGAAGTCAAGATGGCCATCAGACAAATCAAAAGTGGGAAGGCGGCAGGACCTGACAATATACCAGCAGAAGCACTGAAGTCAGACATTGAAATAACTGCAAACATGCTTCACCTTCTATTCAAAAAGATTTGGGAAGAGGAACAAGTGCCAACGGACTGGAAAGAAGGATATCTCATCAAGATACCAAAGAAAGGAGATCTGAGCCAATGTGAGAACTACAGAGGCATCAGTTTGTTATCAGTACCAGGAAAAGTTTTCAACAGAGTGCTGCTGAATCGGATGAAAGACGCAGTAGACGCCGAACTTAGGGATCATCAGGCTGGATTCCGTAAGGATCGGTCGTGCACAGACCAGATTGCGACACTACGGATCATCGTTGAACAATCAGTTGAGTGGAACTCATCACTATACGTCAACTTCATCGACTATGAGAAGGCGTTTGACAGCGTGGACAGGAGAACATTATGGAAACTTCTTCGACACTATGGAGTTCCTCAGAAGATCGTCAACATTATCCAAAACTCATACGATGGATTACAGTGCAAAGTGGTGCATGGAGGACAGCTGACAGATGCATTTCCAGTAAGGACCGGAGTCAGACGAGGCTGTCTACTCTCCCCATTTCTCTTCCTTCTAGTGATTGACTGGATTATGACGAATTCGACATCTGAAGGGAAATACGGAATACAATGGACTTCTCAGAATCAATTAGATGATTTGGACTTCGCAGATGACCTAGCCCTCCTCTCTCATACACACGACCAAATGCAGATGAAGACAGCAAATGTAGCAGCAGCCTCCGCATCGATAGGCCTCCACATTCACAAAGGAAAAAGCAAGATTCTCAAATGCAACACGGAGAACACCGACCCAATCACACTTGATGGCGAAACTCTGGAAGAGGTGGAAACATTCAAGTACCTGGGGAGCATCGTTGATAAACAAGGAGGATCGGATGCAGATGTAAAGGCAAGGATTGGCAAAGCAAGGGCAGCATTTCTACAATTGCAGAACATATGGAACTCAAAACAACTCTCAACCAATTTCAAGGTCAGAATCTTTAATACGAACGTCAAGACAGTCCTACTGTATGGAGCTGAAACGTGGAGAACTACTACGGCCATCATCAGGAAGGTACAAGTATTTATAAACAGTTGTCTACGCAAAATACTCAACATCCATTGGCCGGATACTATCAGCAACAGCGTTTTATGGGAGAGGACAAACCAGCTTCCAGCTGAAGAGGAAATAAGGAAAAGACGTTGGAAGTGGATCGGACATACATTAAGGAAATCACCAATGTGCATCACGACTCAGTCCCTAACTTGGAATCCGGAAGGGAAGCGGAAAAGAGGAAGGCCAAAGAACACACTACGCCGGGAAATAGAAGCCGATATGAAAAGGATGAATAGCAACTGGAAAGAACTGGAAAGGAAGGCTCAGGACAGAGTTGGATGGAGAATGCTGGTGAGCGGCCTATGCTCCTCGACGAGGGGTAACAGGCGTAAGTAAGTAAGTAAGTAATGAGATTCCCATCCCACAAGTGCATTTCGTGCTTCTCTGGACAGCATTAGAGCAACTCCCTGAGTGTGTGGCGCATTTTCCCCTTCGTGACCGGAGTACAGCAGCATCTCTCCTGTACCTAGCCTTTGTTGTCCAGTTTGTGTCCAATGGGTTTCGCTGATTCCGAGTACTGCCAAGTTGTATCTCCTCATTTCCATTGCTATTTGGCTGGTCTTTCCTGTTTCCCACATTGTGCGGACGTTCCATGTACCTATAAAGAGTGTTGCTCTGGTTGTTAGAAGGTGCATCGGTCTCGTGACTTCCGAAGAATTTCGGCTTTCATCATGAGACGTCATTATTCCTTCAACTCCCAGGGCAGAGTTTAAATGGTTTGGATTATTTTTTCTGGTTAGCTCTTCTAGAGTTACTGCCGGTCCCAAGCCCGGGTAAAGGAGGAGGGTTGGGCATGGGGTTAGCGACCCCATCCCGTAGAAAAGCTAACTCGCTAAAAAAACGCTTACCAGGTAGTGAACTACCAATATGTTACTCAAGTCATTCTCGATTCCTGAGTATGTTACAACTAAAACCATATAAGAATTATGGTAGCCTTTTACTTCAGGTATAATACTGTAAGAGTAATGCCCCTTAATAAGTTAAAATGCTGGTTTATTAGGAGACGTATGTCGAGTTAGAATATTGGCTAAATTTTCGCTATCTACCCATGTCTATTAATGGTTGCACTTAGTTATCGACTCAAATAACAACGCTGTACAGTGACAGAAGAAAAAGGATTGGACACGATTATCAACAAAGGAGTATTATGTCGAAATTAGTAGAAAATCAAGTATCGTATGTGAAAAGAAGTCCTATGCTTGTTTTCCAAGATTTAGCCAAGGTTGAAAAGAAAGTTACGTCTACCCTGTTGTCGATAGTTTTTAACTACATTGCTACCAACCGTAGATTTCAGAATAGATCTTTATGCATGTCTGATTACAACAGATAAAAGCTATGTTACTTTTAAAATTCTAAAACTTGTTTTGTTGTTTACTTGCTCAATTTTTCTTAGGTGGGCAAATGAAAATTTTATCGGACTTATTATCTAAATTCGACAGTAATCTGTCTAAACACTTAAAAAAAATAGAACTTGTTCCGGAACATTTTGCATTTCGATGGTTAAGTTTATTGTTGGCACGAGAATTCATGCTTCCAGGTTTGTAATTCTGTTGTGTTATTGTTACTAATGTCGCCAATTTTCTTATACGAAGCACTTGAAACTCGTGAGTTTGACACCTCACAGAGTTTTATCAATAGCTTTATCTACCTAACTTATAGGATTTTAGGTTCCCCATAGATTAACACTGGGATGAAAGTACATTTAATTAAAGCAGTGAATATCTTATATTCACAACTACTAATGAGCGGATTGTAATATGGTAGTTAGAACGCATTTACGCCTGTAAAATACATGAATAGACAAAAAATTTGGTCGTTATCCCCAGAACCTTAAATCTCAATAAGTCACGGAATATCTCAAAACACAAACGTGACCGTTGACTGCAAATAATTGATATTCAGGTAAAATATTCTACTTTCTACACATTTCCAAGGAATATACAATTACAATGAAAAAGCCAAGATGACAGTTGTTTGTTATGTGTATGCAGATCTGATGTGAGGAAATTCATTGATTGTATATCACCCCTGATTAGGTATTTTTGATGAAATCGGATAATTTAATAGATAATATAAATCAAATATGTCACATCATGCATAAAATGAAGGTAAGTAAGAAAAAAATAGATATTTGTGTTATTGTGCTAACCAAACTGTTTGTTTATCGTATATTCAGATAAACCAACTGACTAGGACATGTGAAAGTAATCGTTGCTGTTCACAAATAAGAGATAGATTAAATGAAGTAAAATGTAAGGAGTTTTGGTCTACTTTTTAATTGTCAGTCGACATGGGACAGCTGATTGTATTCCATCTTGTTGGGGATGTTAGATCCTCAGAACTCTTTTGGTAAATGACTTATTTTTGTTATTTTATTTTAAAAATTTGAATTTCTCTGTTCTCGCGCCAAAAGCGCTCTTTTCACCTTCACGTCGTATTTCCCACTTGGGAAAATCTTAAACGCTATTGATCCGTTGTATCTTTTAGTATGCTATTTTGTAACGCTTCCAAAGGACAATTTTATTCTGTATGTATACGTCTGATTTCTTCCTGTTGCGATTGCTTATGCTTCTGGCTGCTTGCGGAATATATCTTCCCCACTTCCAACTTGAACTTCTCACTCTAGTTAGCGGGGCCAGAACAACTGATTAGAATAGCCTGTTGTGTCACTGTATCTTTGACCTTCGTTCCGTTTACCGAGTAACGTGAACTCGTAATCGCATCAAGCATATCACATCTCTCCACATAATATTATTTGGATTTACTCGTATATGTAGGGCTTCAGCTGTTAATCTTTTTTTTTGTATGAGGTAAATCTTTTTGGAGGAATCTTGTGTCATTGAAATCAATCTCATGCCCATACACTATTTGATGTAATGCTGTCGCTGACTTATTTTCTAGTTTTCTCATGTCTTCTGGGGATTCGGGAATGTGCTTCAGAGAAATTTTGTATTCCTTTACCGTCACATGCAGTTACCGTTCTTTCTCACCTACATATAAAGCATCACATTCACTGCATTAGATCTTATATACACAGTTTTATCATTTCTCCTTTGGTGTTGCTTTTTTGGCTCTTATTAATTTAGAGTTTAGAGTATTGTTGGTTTGGAAGAATATCCTTAAATTATGATTATTTAGGATCCTTCTGAAATTCCTTTGTGGTATGAGATAACTAGCGTGTTGACCCCTTCTTTTGGTTTTCTTCCTCACTTATTCTTTTCATAAAGTCTCTAGGATAATTATTCATTATCAAAGTGGATATAACTAAATTCATTTCAGTTCAATCGTTTAGATTTTCATAAATAAGATTTTTCTTTCTTAATGTCTTACATTACATTAAGTCAGCGCCCAATTATTGTAAAACCACCTGTTCAAATTTAGACGAACTTTCTCATGGATCAAAGTAACTGTTTTGTTTTTTAAATATGCAGTCGTTTCTTTCTTCTGTGATCAAAATATCGTTGATTACATTGTTATATTACGAATCCAGCTAAAAGTTACAAAATTTTCAATCTTGCTTACATATTATCGTTTGAGTTTCTCTCTATAATTAATTTAGAGTTTTTTTAACACTAGTAAGCAAATATTTAATACATTCAACAAATATGCTATGTATATCGTTTAACATCCTTATGTGTATATTGTTAATTGTGTCTCAAGGTGAATATTGTTTACATTATTTAGCTTTTTCCGTGTGTATTTTTTTCTCAAGTTTAATTGTTTAAATACTTTGCAAGTTAGTTTCCATTTTAAGTAAGAAACTTAGCTCTCTCCTTTTTAATTCTTGTTACAACGGAGTAGTGTATTGTATACACATAGGCGATTGATAATCTAAATAACATGCCCTGGTACGGCTGAGAGTGGGGAGAGTTCGCTCTCCCTCCCGGAATGTTCTCACATGGCCACGCGAATATATAGCTTCTGCTAGGGAAGTCCTACTCACTGCCTTCTCGTGGCATTACTGTTGTTTACGAAGTTGAGAAGACGAAAAGCGAATGTCCCGCGCTGTTACCGGGTTGGTGAACACGGTGAGTCCACCTAGGGGAGTTGGAAAACCCTGATTCCAAACCAATGGTGCACATGGGCCCCAGTATCCTGAGGGAACAAATGGCGTATGAACCTAGAGTTGATCACCGGCTACCATGGGACTGCATCTCTTTACGATGCTCCACTGCCTTGTGGACCAGACCTTTAGGTCAAAGGCTCCTGGTGTGGCCCCCTAAGAAAACCACCTGCTTCAGGTTGGGCACCTGGGCAGTATCATAGCCCTCACACAAATCAAATGAGATTTGTGTGGTGCATATATATCTGATGCTTCCTTGTACCAATATATATGTGTTTAAATAAATAAATAAATAACATTGGGAAATGTAATGTAAATTACGACCACTCAAAAAAATCAATTTATTAACTCACTTGGTGCACTCAAATAAATGGATGTGAACAAAACTGAACTACTGTTAGTTAGTTTTTTAGTGAAAATATTAAGCTTATTTATACAAAATATTTAACACATGGAAACATAGTTAAAAGTTATTTAAAAGCATGAAAGATTGTAAGGTATCCAAATTTTGTCTGGGTTATTCACCAGATACCTAAAATTGAAACCATACTGTTATACGGAATATTTTTTACCAGAGACGTCACTTTTAATTTCAATAAACCAAAATCTAAAAAAATGTTTTATGCAATCTTCAAACTAATAAGTTGTCTTTTCAAAGGTGTATCACCTCTTCCTTTGCTTTATACTGACACGAAAAAAAAGAGAATCACGAACTACATTCCTAGAAATTATATTATTTTACATATTTTAGCGAAACTTATTATGTAAACTCCCTTATGTAAACTCTCATAATATTATAGTGCAACTGCATTTATGAGAATCACTAATTTACATTGTATGCATTTTCATCATTAAAAAATGATACAGAAATCGACCATAACTACGTCATTTAGTGATTGTGGCTTGTGTTGTTAATTTTTGATTTATTTTATACTTGAGAAAATTCAATCGTATATAAATTATTAATTATGAATATATGAATGAATGTAATTGTTTAAACCAATGTTCATTCATCTTGAGTTTTGTTACATTCATATATAAAACTGAAACTCATATTTGGGTGTATATATTCCATTTAAAGAATAAAGCGAATTACTTGTTATTAAATGATACATTATCTTAAAAAGTTTTACACCGTCAACTCTCTTGAATACTAGTGAAACTGTTAGGAAGAAGGTGAATAACACTTAATTACATTTTAAAGTTCATTCTTTAGCGCATTTCAACTGGGAGGTTGGAGTTTGTTAAGACGAATGCCATTTTGCACGTATTTAAACCATAAAGTCGTTAGTGATTATATTTTGTTCATAATTGAAGATACAAGTAATAGATGTAAGTGGTGATAACCTAGCTGTAGATATTTTATTCGCATATTCATTCACTAACTGAACTGTTAGTTCACATTCATACATCTTTTATATAGAATAAATGGAATGTGACTAGTATTAGGATCTAGGACGCACTGTTTGCCCTATTTGAAACACGTCGTCTGGATGTACCTGCATCCCGGAGTTGATTTTCATTCTGGGAGTCGAACCCAATACTGTTGACTTCAGACGCCAACGCGTTATTCACTTGATTATTGAGTTCAGAGAGCCGTTAGCTTGCGTCTCGGATTTCACTCTTAACCACATTTCATCTACACTACATAAACGTGTGTCATAAAAGCTACATTGAGGTAATCCGCCCAGGATGTACTATGTCAATCAAGACTGATCAAATCTCAGTCAATAGCGAGATGATCCAATTCAGTACAAATTAATTTAAAATTCATACATCCCTTGATACCCGTTACAAATACAGTCATAAGGTTTTTTGAGAAGTGATGTTTTGTTTTATTGTTTTCTATCTAACACATTCTGATCACCCTACTTATTGTTCATAATTAACACCAATTTTGGTCTTTTGATAGATATGAATTTGGTTTCAATTGCAGTTCTACTCGTATTTATCTATTGTTTTACAGATGTACTCCTATTATGGGATACACTTTTCTCAGATCCACACAGGTTCAACTTACTTCCATATGTTTGCTGTTCAATGTTAATGTAAGCGATTTCTATCTATAATTTTATAGAATTATTTTTCATTTGAGTAAATAATGTTCATTTCAAATTGTTAATAGTATTTGGTCTACGAATATTTCTTCAATTTGACTTATTTACTTAGAATTCAGTTTATTCCGATTACTATCTAAGAAAAGTGTATTAAACTTCTTAGTAATGCATACTTCATTAATATACAAAGATATTAGATCTTTGTTAATCAAAATATTTAGTTCACCATATGAACTTAACTTCTTACTAGTTACGGTTCATTTAAAAATTGTTCTGAGTCATTTCAGTGGCTGTTGTCGACTAGTCTTAAAAATTATCTAGAATAATTTCATTTTCATAATTTACAATCTTACATAATTTATATTCGCCGTTCAGTTCGTTTTAATAGTTTTTTTATTTTTCTTAACCAACAATTACTTGATAAAACAGTTGGTCAATATAATTGTATAACTTTGTTTTCCTGTACTTTACTACTCCCAACGGGTCGATTCATATGTAACGCCTATCTATTATCATCTTTGAATTATTAAGTTCCACAATCTAATGGTTCTATATTGTTAACGAGTTTTCTTATTACTTCCTCCAAATAGACTACTTCTTGTTTTTTTTACATCGGCTGTTGTAGATTTTTATAACTATTTACCTTCAGAGCTTTATTGATTTACATCTCATTTAAAAGTGCTTCTAGTCGCTATTTATTTCCATATAAATGACTTCAATTTACACTATAACTATGAAAGGTAGTTATACTATCCGATTAAATGTGCTGAAGCAGATAGATTTGGGTTAAGTTGTTATTTTTATTTCTTCATGAAATGACATTGATATGAATAAATTAAAGCAATCTGAAATGAATAGTAATCACTGTACTTGTGGAGTCAAATTAATGGTTATGTGAGGACGAAATAATGGAATAGTTGATTTTCCTTAGAGACTTTAGTATCCACTCTTATCTTCTCGTAGATTTTCAATTTTTTCTACGTTGTAATTATAATCATTGTTCTTATTGTTTTCGTTTTGGTGATTTGTCTTATAATTACAAGTGGTATTCGTGATCAACTATTGAAAGCTGATTTTCCTACGGCTGTTCAGCTTGTTCAAGTAAATAATTTTTTATAAAAAAATGTTGATTATTTACATATATTTTTCCATGGTGATTTTCTCGTAGGATTAAAAAAAAGACAAATCAACTTTATAAGTGTATGTTGTATAGTTTCACAATATTGATAGTGTGTGTAGTTTCCTTGTGGAATTGCTTGTCTATGCTAGAGAAAACTTTATCTTAGATATTATAAGCAAAGATGGATAGTGGCTGGCAGTGGAATCCAGGATGCGCGTTTCGTCCTATCTGGGACTCGTCAGCTGAATGTACCTGCATCTCAGAGTTGATGTTCGCTGCTAGCCACTATCCATCTTCGCTTATAATGCTTGTGAATTAAGGCAATATAGAGGCAATACGCACAGTATGCACATATGCCAATAAGAGACTGACCAGTTTCAGTCCTAAGCATCAATGGGAAGATTCAAACAAACAATACTAAGTGAATTTATTTTAGATATCATAAAACTGTTTTTGATATTAATAAGTAGTATAATTAATAAGCAATTTTTTATTCGGTTTAACGAAACGTAATAATAGTTAAACATATGATTGGAGAACTTATCTTGAGAAATTACTTTTTAAATTAATTATTTGGTAACTGGATTAATTAACGAATTTTATAGATCTTTTCAGTTAACTACAACTTTGTATTTTGGGTTTTCAGATGGTATTGCCGACTGATAATTAACAAACTGTTCAAACTCATAAATTTGTGTTTTAACTGTTTATTAGTTGGGTAATCAAATGATAAATGGTAAACTATAAAACTTGTAGTTAACATCACGGACTGATCCCTTACTAAAACAAAATCGCTGTCCATCGCTTCCTGGTTTTCATTCGTTGTGTCACTAAAATCAGTATGAAATTTGAAAACTATACAACCCCCTTATGGTAAATGATGCTTATCTTAAAAATCAAGAATAATTTATCTAACAACGTTAAGTTTTTTTTTAGTTGTCAGCAGGTTTTAAATATCAGTTATCATTTAGTTAAGTTATCCAAAAAAGTGAATTGTTACTATTAGAATAACATTTCTCATGATGATATTATTGAATATCAGATTAGTTCGAATTGTGCATTAAATTGCCTATGCTGTTCTAAAACTTTGCCCTTTCGACTATTTGTTAAAGGAATTCCAATCATTTTTCCAGGTTTAAAGTAAATAACTGTATTTGTATTTCTCATCATCTAATGTCCTTTTTTATTTCAATTAATATCAAGATTTAACTGGAGTTGAAAATGTAGACCATAGAATAAAAACTCAGTATTTTTTAAAACGTTAAGCAGTTGCTGTGGCACGACCTCAAAATCTTACGTCTAGTACTTAATGAAGTTGTTGATTCGCACGAAAGATGGATAGTCGTCTATTATAACCAAACAGCTGTCGGGTGATGTTTTCTGGTTTACAATGCTGGTCTAGCTGAAGTCAGTACATTGTCTTAATTCACCCATTATCATATGGATTAAGTATGCATATACCCGTCTGTGTCATCAGTATTTTGAAGCTTTTTCACTTATTTCAGAGGACATTTTTAATAGTTAAACGATTGGGTTTTAATTTTTTTCGGTCGTTAAGCTGGGCCAATAATTGTTAAATTATATGTATGTTTATGAAGAATGATAAACTATCATTCAATATATATAACCTAGATGTTGATTCACATTTAAGTTTACTTTAAATGTTTCCATTTAATGTTTTTTTTGTATGATTTACACGCAGAATTATCCATCAAATGTCGATGTAATGCGTATTCTTTTGAAAGCCAGAGCATTCTATACAGATCGCCAGATTTGAAGCCTTATCTTTTCAACTGTTAGATGATTTTTTGTTATGACCACCTATTCCGAACAAGAAATAAAAATGTAAATGTGCTTTATTTAAATGTGTGTACATGTGTTAGCGCATATGTTCGTACTCATCTATCCACGAGTGTTCTTTGCTTTTCTTCTCTTTCTCTCCTATTTACTTATCTCAAATATTTCTCCTTTATTTTGATTGAATATCAGTTACTTGGTGATTTATTACAAAACATCGTTTTGATATCTTTGATGATTAAAATTACTGTTATTGTTATAATTTATTTCATATCAAATTTGTAATATGATCACTTTTATTTTGGTCTCTTTTTCCCCATCCATATTCTTTCTTAATAAAATGTTAATATTATCTTATTCTAAATTGTTATTGCATCTTAATGGTAGTGCACCGATGATTTTCTCGTTTCCCTGATTATTAAATTTGAAATGGTTGTTTGAATATTGCAATAAATTGTTCAAGGCAATTACCTTTTTCTTTCTGAATTTTTACTTTCAGAATGATTATTTTTTTGATTTGAAAACATTGAATTAAATCCTGATTTTGTAACACTATTGTTTAAATAGACATGTGTAATTTCAAAGAGAATGATTTATGTTGTATATTTATGGGAAGTGTTTGTTTGTTTTGTTAAATATTATTTATACACTTATGTCAGTTTAGATATTCTTTGAACTATAATTAAACGCTGTAAATAAGGGATGGCTTAGTGGTTGAAGCATTAAACATTCGACTATTGAATCTCAGTCGAAATACTTCTATCCACATAGCTACGTGATTTCATTAACGCTTAAATGAGAAAGTCTGACAAAGCCGAGTACACTCGGATATGAATTTCAGTTGTTTTCTCTAGCTGTCAGTGTGGACATGGTTTTGGGAACTAAAGAGCTACAAGTTTCTGTTAATTTTAAGTACTGTTAAATGTTTCACATAGTAGTTATTTAAATAAACTACAAATATTGAGGTTTTCAAATGTTCTTCATTAACTAGACTTGAGTCTTGGAATATTCCTTTATTCTACTCTAGAAATGTAATGCAGTAAATCTTCAGTAAAATTTTCTCCTACTTTAAGTAGTATGAGTAGTACTGCAAAATTTACGTGCTGCATCTTTGGCTTGCATCCAACGAACAGTCATGAATCTAGGACTCAATATGATACCCATAATTTGCAATGCTTTTTGACCACCTTTCATTCATCTGAAACAGGAAACCAGCGAATCTTCATCGTATGCACTGGTTTACAATTTCCTGTCTATGAAATAAAAATTTACTCTTGATCAACATAGAGCTGATTGAGTGAATATTTACTTACATTCTCTACTCAAACTTTTCCATCGTAAGATATGTGTTCGGTGTGACTTTGGGGCTTCATCATCACGGATTTTCTTCCACAATTCTTAATATACATATTGTTGTACCAGCAACATTCTATACTAACTGTATGGGGTGGTTGACTAAATTGATGTACTATCAATTCAGTTTGATCTCATAACTTTAACCATTTATCTAGCGATATTTAATGAAATTGTCTGTTCTATTACACTAGTAGTTAAATTTATAAACTCTAAATTGTTATCATTACAGCGTAGTTCCTATTACTGTGAACGTTAATTAGTGTTATTTATCAGACTACCGTTTGAAAGTAATCAGTGTATGACGAAATTGTTAGTAGAGCAACGAGCATGTTCAAGTAGAATACAAGCTAACTTTGGATTTCGCGTGCAATAGAAGTGCTCTAATCCAAGCTATTACTCTGATTTTGAAACTTGGTTTGTATTGGTCTGGTGGAGATATCATCTAGGATATTTGTTATTGCGAAGCATTTCTGACAAATACCGATAATTGTGTACAATTGGTTGTGTTTATGTAATTCAAGAAATCAAGAAATGCGAAGTAAAATGATATTATTTTGTTTCAATCGTCTTTCGTGCTTCGTTCATAAGTAGAATCTGTAGTAGTGTTATATCCCCCGGTGAATTACGAATGGTAACTTTTAGGTCTATTTATGGATCAATATAATATGACTATTTCCTATTGTACAATTATTACGTAACTGAACTATTCATATTCGTATTTCTCTTATCATTAGCTTTATTTTGACCTTTGACTTATTATCATACGATTCTTGAGTTATCATCAGTTTGTTGATTACTATTCACAGTCACATTCGGCTAAATATTGTACAAATGTTATTATCTATTTTATGGGTCGATATGGTTTGTTTGTTTGGTATATAAACTCAGTATGTTTGAAATACAATGATTCATACCACTGAGGCTGTTATTGGTGTTTTGGACTTAACTGGCTGGGCTAGGCAGATCGCAGGACCGGTTAGCCCTCTAGTTTGCTCGTACGGGTTTCGTGTCACTGTTCCAACCGATAATTCGCTGCTCCCTAATTGGCGGTTCTATCGCGTCACACATCAACTAGTCATCCACTCGGCTACAAGACATAACAAGTAGCGATGACTCCTAGTTTGAATGATTCATGATAAATGAAATATGAAAATACCACACTTTTTCCAACGTATCACCGGTATAGTCGAATACTAATAATCACAGAGTGGGAATATGAAACCTAGAACACACTTAATGAGAAGTTGGATGTAAACAGCCTCGGTCATTTCCCCCTTAGTCTTTTCTGTCATTCAGTTTGATGGGTGATTATCAATCCAGTCCACTGTTCTTATCTTCTTCGGGAGTATATTATCTTTTAAAATGGACCACTAGACAGGATTTTTCTCACCTAAGCACTTACGTTCGAGACAGAAGCATTATTTGTCATAATCGGTAACATCGCGATGTTCGCTTAATTTGTATGCACTCACATTCGTTTTAGTTATTGCTGTAGAAATGAGATTTTTTCGTAAAAGGTCGATTTATGATTAGGGAATTACCTCATGAAATTGGAGAGCGTAGACAATACATTTTCGTCAAGATACAAGTATAATGCAGCCCAATCAAAATTTGGGTTGAAGTTGATTAATAAATAGGAAAAAGCTTGAACCAGATTCCCAGGCGAAATGTTGGTTTTACTTCAAATTCATTCGCTGAGATTTTACAAATATATTATTCCTATTTAATTTCTTACATCAACTCGGCGCCCAAATACTGTAAAACTATTCGCCCTAATTTAGACGAAAGTTCTTATATGAAGTTGATTAATGTTCAAGGCAAATCCTTATTCGTCTCAAAAACATTAAGTATTGGTTTATGTCACAGTTAAGTGACTGATGAAGTCACAGTTTAATATCTTGTTTCTTTCTTGCTAGATTACTCAGTATGAAAGGCAGGTAATATATTTGTCTCTTGTGCATCGTGGAATGATACTGATGATTAATTCACTGTATTAATTTATAGGAATATGAACTTTCATGGGTTGAGAATTTTGGGACAAGTGATCAACTTGAGAGCTAGTTTGAAGTATAGTAAACATAATCACACTATATCACTGCATTTGTATATAATTTTACTTACCACTGATGTAAAGGATGTAGGGAGCCACATATCTCCTCTTAGTCTTAGTGTAATTTTAGGGAATTTGCAGACTGTGGTTCCAAATCAGTTTAATTGGCTCGGCAAGCTTGATTCATTTTCTCTATGTAACTCCTAATAGTCATATCCTGTACCTTTCACTGTTTTTTTATCAATTTCTTTTGAATCTTTATTTCTGTTTTCTACTAATTTTTGTAATATTCTCACTGATATTCCTTTGTTTTTCCATATGTTAACTTCTTCTAGTTGTACTCATGTGAAATGAGATGGTGATAGCTTAAAGAGACATATATTTGTACGAGCGAGACTTATAGTTTCAATTTTAGCTGTACCAGTTTGAAAATTGATCGATAAATTACATAAGGACATCCGTTAGACTTTATGCTTGCTCTAGTTTTGTTTAACCATTGCATAGGTCTAATGAAAGTAAAACACTTTTTTGGGTGTGGTGCACTAAATTTACTTTTTGAATAAATTTACTGTATAGAAAGTTTGACTGATTTTATGAGTCTATTTTATAAGGTCATTAAAGTAAAAGGATTCAAGTAGAAAATAATGTTATAGGTTTTGGAATTTCGAATTAGATATTTCTTTAATAATATCTTGATATATTGATCAGTCACAGAATGCTTTCGGCGGCAGTAAGGATGGACTGAAATTAACTGGACCATAATTACTCAAGTTCTCGCAGATGGAATAGGAATTGTAACTTAACTACTTTATTCACACATTAATCGAAACTTTAAACAGATAACTTAATTTTTATAGATTAACAGCTTTCTGTGATTGGACACTAATATGGAGTGGCCAAAATAATGCTATCAGCTAGTCACAACTCTCGAATTTCCATGACGTTCCTACATTCATGGCTAACATTAAAGTGACTGAGTATCTTTGTATCCCTAAGGGTAGATTTTGAGGCTATGCCCATAAATATTAGAGAAACATTGATTGATTTAAGTGTCATCAAAATATGTGCTCAATTCGCCTATAGCCATACTTCTTTCTCCATTAAAATTATTATTTAATTGGTTGTAAATAGTGTCCATGTGAGATCTAATTAGTGGAATTCTATGGAAAACATTAACATTTGATTGGATGTTGAATTTTTATGAAATTTATGATTTGAAAATTTTCTGGAACTCGCTTCACTAGTGTTTAACAATAAGTTTTCTTAAGCTACTTCACATTCATACGTAGTTAATGAATATTTTTGTCACACTATATAATGTACGAAAAATGTGATAAGTTAGATATCGATCAATATAATAATGTAGAAGTAAAAAATTATAGACAGTAAGATATGTAATGACTTAGTAAATTTAAAGGACTTCCATCTGTTTCCCATCATGGAGGAGTATAGGCCATACACCAGTATTCTCCATCCAACTCTGTACTGGGCAGTCCTTTCAAGTTTCTACTCATCCTTCATGTCTGCTTCAAATTCCCAGTGCAATGTGTTTTGTGGTCTTCATATAAAATGCT